TGGATGCCTTTGATTTCCCTTTCTTGCCTTATGGCCCTGGCTAGGACTTCCAGTACAATGTTGAATAGAAGTGGTGATAGCGGGCATCCTTGTCTAGGAAATTTTTAAACAATAAGGCTCTGAGACCTTTTCCTCAGTAGTACTGTTTTCTCGGAGCTTAGACTGATTCCCAGGGTAGGGATGGCTTATTCGCGTTTCCCAGATGAGAACTGAGGCTCAGGGAGAGGCAGGGCGTTGCCCCAAGTCGTGTGGTGATTTGAAGGCGGTTCTTTGTCTGCTGCGCCGCTCCTGTTGCCTGAGGCTGGCAGAGAGCAGGCACCCCTGGGCCTCTCGGGAGGAGGGAAAGCCAGCTGCTCTCTCTGGAGCCAGCATTTCATTCCTCTCCCCCATCCCAGAGCCCAACCTGGGGGAGGACGACGAGGACAAGGACTTGGAGCCAGGCCCATCGGGGACCTCGAAGGCCTCCGCCCAGATCTCGGGCCAGTCAGACACGGACATCACGGCCGAGTTCCTGCAGCCTCTGCTGACGCCTGACAACGTGGCCAATCTGGTGAGGGCCAGTGGGGGCCTTTTCCTACCAGGGAGTGAGAAGGAGTCTCTTAGGCCTTACCCTGCCTTCACTCCACACTGTCCATCTCCTCCAAATGTCATCAGTCCCCAGGAGGGCATGGTCCAGGCAGGCCCTCCTAACCTTGGCTGGTCTGAGTCCCTGGCCACACCTGCCCCACTCTTTGCTCTGCCCTCTGTGAAGGTAGCATGGAGCACCCGGAAGGGCGAGGTGTCAAGCCCATGAGCTGTGCTGAGTGGTCAGGGGTGAGATATTGGTGGGGGATGTGGCGTTTATCAGACTGTCAGATATCTCCTCCTCCACTTGCTCCAGTGGGAGGCTGGGGCCAGGGGTGGGTGAGTGACAGTTGTCCCCGTGGTATCAGCACCCAGACCTTTCTGTTGGGTGCTCACAGAGCATGCCTCTTCCATCCTCACTGGCAGCCAGCCCCTCCCCTGTGTTTCTCCCCTAAGCCTAGGACGAATGGCATGATTATTGTGGGGCTGCCTCTCCAGCTGACCTCTCTGGTGGGCTTCAGGCCTGATGTCCTCCAATATTCCCTTGGGTGTTTTGTAGGCACCTCAGACTGAGCGTGTCAAAACCAAACCTGTGGCCTCTCTCCCCACCTCCTCCCCAGGCCTGTGGCTCCTCCTCAGGCCTGCCTGGCACACCAGCTGCCCATCTCCACAGCCAGAAGCCCCCCAGTCCTTCCCCTCTCCTCCAGGGCCACACTACCCCGGTCCTGGTCCCACCCTTTCTTACCTAGAGCTTCCCCAGCTTGGCCCACCTCTACTGACCCACTCCACGTCACAGCCAGAGGGATCCTTCTGAGGCACAAATTGGGACTCTCTGCCACTCAGATCCCGCCATGACTCTAGTTTCCAGACCAGGTGTAACTCACCTTGCAGGCCCCCTCTGACCAATGACTGTGCCTTTTGTTTCTCAGCATGCTCTTGCAGTCTGCCCTTGCAGATGTAGTGGCCTGGTGGTGTTCAGTGTTCTTCCACTTTGATGAGACCTGCTGTCTCTGTAGTAACAGGCCCTGTTCCTTACAGTCTGTCCTTACTCTTTTTTGTTCAGTCTTGCTTTGTTGTTAGCTGTTATCAAGTTGGCCCCCAACTACTGGCAACCCTGTGTCCACGGAACCAAATGGCTCCTGGCCCCACACTGTCCGGGGAGGGATCATGGAGCATCCTGCTGGCGCCCACGGGGTTTTCACCAACTGATTTCTGACATGGTTTGCCAGCTCGCTCTTCCTAGTCCTCAATGTAGAAGCTCCACCTACACGTTTTCAGCATCCTAGCCACACGCAAGCCTCTGCCAGTGGACTTGCCACGTGGGCCTGCTTTTAGCCTGCTCGGAGAATGACTGACTTGTTTTCTATGCAACAGTTCATAACGATTTTGTTTCATGATGTTGATTGCACAACCCGCAGTGTAACAGCTCTCTTCCCACTTCCTCCCTGTGCTTGCCCTCTCCCTGTGTCCTTTTCTGTGCTGTCCTCCCCTTTGAGCTTTCTCGCTGTGCAAGTGTTGCCCTTCTGATCTCCCGTGATTAACGGTTCTGAGTGCACCTGCCTGGTCTAGTTGTTCACCTCGTAGGCCTGTCCGTTGTTTGGCTGCAAGCTACAGGAGTGAGTTTGATTCCAGACCCAAAGGGTAACAAGGGGCCATAGTCTCAGGGGTCTCACCAGTCTTTATCAGACCAGTCAGCTTGGTCTTTTTTATGATTTTGAATTTTGGAGACCTGACGTGTAGTTTTGCTTGTTTACAGCTGTTTTGCTTTCCTCCTCTTGTCTTTACTGCCTTCCTGGTTAGAGTTTTGGGCTCTCTTTTCCCCAGGGCTGTAAGCTAAGTGCTCGGCTTGTGTCTTCAGTCTTCGTTCCAACATGAGCACGTAAGGGTCGTTTCTCCGTCTAGTTCTGCCCTTTGTGCTGCCTCCCCCACTCACTGGTTTGGGGTATGGTCAGTATCTCTCTGCCCCAAGTTACTATTTACAGCATGTATTTAAAGTTACACATGTGTGGGGAGTTGCTAATTATCTTCTGTTAACAATTCCTGGTACACATGGCATGTGGTCAGAGGTGGTCTGTCAGGATACTGACTTTTTTGAAGTCAAGTCCAAGTGCATGTTAAACTCTCCACCACATCTGTTCCCTCTCTGGACAGGATGCCAGCTCTGCTACCTCTTAGCCTTGCCCCTTGCTGTTCCTGTACCTGGAACACTTACCCTCCACCCATCTGATGCCCACCTCCCTTCAGTTCTTTGTGGTGGTGGTTGATAATACACACAGCACAGCACACCCAGGTGAACAGTTTGCCCTCATACAATTCATTGGCATCAGTGACATTCTGAGAGTCGTGTAGCCCTCTCAATACCCTCTTCTGAGTCATTCCTCCCCCACTGACATGAACTCACTGCCCCCGAAGTTCCTGTCTAACCTGTCGAGTTGCTGTTGTATTTTGGTCCCATAGAGATACTTTAAAAGAGTGCAGATACTCTTCACTTGTTAAGCTAACCTGTTGTTTGGTTTAAAGGAGACAGATGTCAGCCGGCCCTCAGCTCTCAGAGTAGGTGCCACCGTCCTGGGGAGCAAAGCCTTCCCTGCCCCGCCTGGCGTGTCTCATGTGCATGTCGCGTGTCAGCCCACCCTTCTCCCACACAGCACATGTTACCATGGCTCGTCGCCCTGGCCCTTGCTCAGCTGAGCTCTGCGGCAGCAGGCCCAGCTCTGTCCTTGGTGCTGCCGTGGGCCTGGCATTGGCCTGGGCCTGCAGCGAATGTTTGAGTTCGTGATTGAAGAAAAGCTCCTCTTTCCTGGGTGTCCCGCAGGTCCTCATCAGCATGGTGTACCTGCCCGAGGCCATGCCCGCCTCCTTCCAGGCCATCTACACCCCGGTGGAGTCAGCAGGCACCGAAGCCCAGATCAAGCACCTGGCTCGGCTCATGGCCACACAGATGACGGCTGCGGGACTGGGGCCAGGTGGGTGTCACGTGGTGCTGACCCAAGCTGGGGCAGGGGCACTTGGGGCTGCTCGGTTCTCACTGGAAGAGCACCGCCCCTCCCTCGTGGCAGTGCTATGGAAACTGCATGACGTCATCCATGTCAGTAAGGACAGGTCCCACAGACAGATAGGGTGCCCAGTGCTGTCAGGCCCTGGGCTGCAAACTCCCAGCAGATCTGGGTTGAGTCCGTTCAGTCACGTAGAGCCCCTTTAGACACTGAGTCCATTCAGGTGAGGGGCGAGGGCCATTCCACGGTGATCCCCGTTTTACAAATGACAAGGCCAAACGTCAGAATGGTCCTAGACCAAGGTCACCTACATGGTTCAGTGGGACACAAGTCGGTGATTCCAGACTAGTCCTCACCGTCACCCCAGGGGACCTTTGATAACAAACATGCTGTGGACTGACTGACCACATGTGCCACGGAGGACCCTGAGCCCATGTCCACAGGAGGAAATGGAGGCCTCACCCAGGGGCATGCAGGGTGGAAGGGCCTGGATGGAGTAGGACTCAAACCCATGGCTTTGCCTGTCTAAGCCCAGGCTTGTAACCCCTGTGCACTGGCTGCTCCTGGCACATAAGAAGGGTTCTGTAGTGGGCGGTGGGTGGTGGTAGGTTAATTACGAGGGAGGAAGGGCTGATGTAAGGGGGATTTGGTGACAAGTCTGTATAACACAGTGGATATGAGCGTGGCCTCAGTCCCAGACGCCTCATCCACTTTGCAGCTGTGTGGCTTTGGTCAGGTTACTTACTCTCTCTGAGCCTTGTTCACAGTGCCGCTCAGGTGTGATTCACATACAGGGAAGTGCGCCTTAGTGATTTTCAGGAGGGGAGCATGCCGGCGTAACCACCACCCATATCAGGATATACAGCATTTCCCCCTTTCAGAGTGCTCCTTCCTGCTTCCTTCCAGTCAGTATACACCACTGCCCACCTCCAGAGACCACAGTTCCACTGTGTCTCTGTCAGTCACTTTGCCTGCCCTTGAACTTGATCTAAATGGAATCCGAGAGCAAGTCTGGCTCTTGAATTGTTATCTTGCAAGACAGGGATCAAGGCCACCTGCTGCACAGAGGTGCTGAGGACAGGTGACTGTGCTTTGGCTTGTACAGAGCTTAGCCTAGAGCCTGGCCCACAGCAGTCCCCAGAAGTTGGTCGGCTGTCACTCTTGCAGGGACTGAGTTGGTTTCTCCCTGGGAGGCAGGGCTGAGGTGGACGAGGGCCGCCGGGTGCAGGTGGGGCTGGTGTGAGGCTCTGCCTTTCTGTCAGGTGTGGAGCAGACCAAACAATGCAAGGAGGAGCCCAAGGAAGAGAAGGTGGTGAAGCCGGAGAGTGTCCTGATCAAGCGGCGCCTGTCAGCCCAGGGCCAGGCCATCTCGGTGGTGGGCTCCCTGAGCTCCATGTCCACTCTGGAGGAGGAGGCGCCCCAGGCCAAGAGGAGGCCAGAGCCCATCATCCCCGTCACGCAGCCCCGGTGAGCTGGGAGGCCTGGCTCTTGGGGTTGGGGGGCAGTGAGAGACAGAGAAGACATTCTGACTGGGGGTTTGACTCCAGTGTTGATGCCACCGCCACTAAGCCCGAGTCATCGTTTTCTTCTGACTGACAAGGTCCACTTTCTTACAGCTGCTCTTGGGGTCAGGGTAGTGTCTCTCCAAAGCATCATGGGAGAATCACAGTAGTTGGCAATGATGGATAGATGAGTCAGTCAGAGACTTGGGGTTAGAAGGAGTCATGACTGAAGTGCTTAACACGGCTCCTGGCATGTGGGTGCTGTGGGACGCCCTCTCAGTGTCGTCATCACCTCTTCACAGTACCGAGTCTTTGAGCCAGTCCCTGCCCTGTCCCCGACCAAGTCTCGCTAACAGGCCATGCCCGCTCTATTGCTCCTTCTCCAGGCCCTCTGCTCGCCTCAGTCCTTCCTCTCCAGTCCAGCCTCCTGGCTGCTCCTGGGATGGCCAAGCAGAGCCCTACTTCAGGGCCCTCAAGCACTGTCCTCTGCTGGCAGGTGCACCCCCAATACTCATGGGTCTTGTTCCCTCACTTGATTCCCATCTCTACTGTCATCTCCTCATGGGACCATCCCTGAAAACACTTCTGCAGAATAGCATCTCCTTCCTTCTCCCGACCTGGTGCCCTGCAGTGTCTCAGCCACTGGGGAACTAGGATCTATGGAGTATCCCTGTGTGACCTGCTCAGTCCCTGGGCTGCTCCCAGTCACTGTGTCCTTGTCCCATATAGGCTGGCAGGTGCAGGCGGGCGTAAGAAGATCTTCCGTCTTAGTGATGTGCTGAAGCCCCTGACTGACTCCCAGGTGGAGGCTATGAAGTTGGGTGCTGTGAAGCGGATCCTGCGGGCTGAAAAGGCTGTGGCCTGCAGCGGGGCGGCCCAGGTGTGTCCCCTGCACCCAAACCAGTCCTTCAGGCCCTCTCCCCAAGCGAGTAGGCAGGCCTGGGTCAAACCTGCCCCAGAGCCCAGCTCCACCACTCACTAACCACAGGACCACGGGCCTACGGTTCTCCCAGGCTTACCTCCACGCTCTGTAAAACAGCAGCAGCTCCTCCTGGGGGCGCACGTGAGCTCCTAGCTCAGGGCCGTGAGAGGGAGAACTCTGCACGGGAGGGTTTTTAAATACAGGAAATATATGGTGTAGCAGATAAGACACTTGACTGCTAACCACATGGTTTCAGACCCAGCAGCTGCTCCACAGGAGGAAGATGAGGCAGTCTATTTCTGTGAAGATCTACAGCCTTGGAAACCAATGGGGATCTCAATGAGTCAGAATTGACTCAATGGCAGTGGGTTTTTTAGTGGCATAATGCTTAAGTATATGGCTGTTAACCAAAATGCGGGTGGTTCTGACCTACCAGCCATTCCATGGAAAGATCTGGCGATCTGTTCCTATAAAGACTGCAGCCTTGGAAACCCTGTGGGGCAGTTCTGTGCTGTCCTCTAGGGGTGCTGTGGGTCAGAATCTGCACAGTGGCACCCACAGCAGCTACACAGATGAGGGGGGGCTCTGCTGTAAACTACTGTTGGGCAGGAGAGATGGAAGGCGGCTTCCTGGGCCACCCCCTGCATCCCAGCTCCCTCCCCAGAGCTGACCAGTACACAAATTCTGTGATTACTTCAAGATCTTGTTCTGTAGACTTAGCACATGGAGAGAACTAGAAACGAATGCATCCTTTTTTCTTATGGTTATTGCTTCTTCCCTTCTTTGAATCTTCTCACACAAACGGAACCCTGATACCTTCTCCCTAATACCGGGTCAGGACCGTGCTCCATGGCTTGGCAGGCCCTTAGGCAGGCAGAGAGGGCCACACTGCGTGGTCAGGTGGTGTGTTGAGGCTGCCCACATGCCGACACGCTCGCTCGCTCACTCCCAGGTGCGTATAAAGATCCTGGCCAGCCTGGTGACACAGTTCGACTCGGGCCTGAAGGCCGAGGTCCTGTCCTTTATCCTGGAGGACGTGCGGGCCCGCCTGGACCTGGCCTTTGCCTGGCTCTACCAGGAGTACAACTCCTACCTGGCTGCTGGGGCCTCGGGCAGCCTGGACAAGTATGAGGACTGCCTCATGCGCCTGCTCTCTGGTCTGCAGGAGAAGCCGGACCAGAAGGATGGGTGAGTGCATGCAGTGCCTGGGCCTGGCTCCGAGAGCCCCTCCTCTTCTTCCCTTTCCACTTTCTGACATCCCCACCCAGCTGGTCCTCCACGTGCCCCTCTCCCTTCCTCCCTGTCTGGGGCAGGTCCTTGGCAGTGTTTTGAGCATGGGCCCCCAGTTCTGCCTGTTGCTTTCTGTGTGACCCGCGTCACACAACCCCTGGGCCTGTGCTTTGCTGCCAGTGAGTGTCTCCTCATGAGCTTGTTTGAAGACTGCCTGCCCTGCCCTGCTGCCACATCTCTTACTGGGTGGGTCTCTGGCTTCCTCACCGCCCTCGGGCGCCAGCTGGCCCAGGTGATCCTCCGCAGTGTAAAGCCGCCTTGTTAGCTCTCCGTGACAAACCTTCCGTGGTTCTCCCTTCCTCTTGAATAACCTAAAGCCTTCCTAAGGTCTTTGAGGCACTGCGTGAGCTGACCCCTACCAGCCTCTTTCAACTGTCTGTTCCCCAGGTTTCAGCCCTGCTGGCTTTGTCTGTCCCTTGAACGTGACAAGTCCGGGGCCTTGATGCTCTTCTCTCTACCTGGAGTGCATGCCCCACACTCTGCACATGACTGGCCCCATCTCATCCACCAGCATTTACTCAAATATTTGTTATTTGCCCATGGCCTTCTGTGGCCACCATACCTCAGATGGCCATGTCCTGCCCTTGCGTCGTCCTTTCCTGTTGCTGCCTTATTCCCAGTACTTAACACAAGCCCTCTGAGGGCACAGGCTGGATGACATAGTCCCATCCAGATCCCCAGTCACTGCAGCATAGCCTCCTGTTCAGAGAACTTGTAGGAAATGAATCCAGTTAGGCATCCGGTCTGACAGAGGGAGAAGCTGTCTATGTAACTCCTAGTCTCTGCGTGATCCAAGAGCTCCAGGTCTCTGCCTTCATCACCAGCGGCACCCTCTGCACTCAGCCTGCTCCCTTCAGAGCTGGACGTCCCAAGGGCTGAGCAGGCTGTCATGGAGCGTGCCTCAGGCTCTGCACTCTGGGGCCTCAGTGGGACTGGTCTGGGGGAGGTGACAGGCTGGAAGCTGGGGGCACTCATCTTGTAGCCTTCCTCTGCCCTGCCCTTCCCAAAGGATCTTCACCAAGGTGGTGCTGGAGGCACCACTGATCACAGAGAGCGCCCTGGAGGTGATTCGCAAGTACTGCGAGGACGAGGTGAGGCAGCCCTGGACGGGTGGACAGGGCCCTGCCTGGGGAGCCTGAGGGAGGAGGGTCACAGCCCTGCCCTGGGGAGGTGGTTAGGGCACACAGCCTAGACCTTGTGGCACAAGGCTGTGTGCAGGACCAGGCGTTGTGTCCAGGATCCAGATTGAGAGAGAGAGACTACATAGGTGGTTCCCGAGGTCCCCTGCAGGTGGACTGCATGTACTCTAGTGTCACCGTCCCAGCCCCTCTGGTGCTATGGGATTGGGGTGGACTGGGCACCAGGGATGTGTTGGTGGGGATATGATGAGCAGGCCTGGCTCCCGCCCTTGCCTCCCACAGAGCCGCACCTACCTAGGCATGTCCACGCTGCGAGACCTGATCTTCAAGCGCCCATCCCGCCAGTTCCAGTACCTGCATGTCCTGCTAGACCTCAGCTCCCATGAGAAGGACAAGGTGATCTCCCAGCCTGTCACCACTGTCTAGGCTGGGCTGCACTCAAGCCAGCCATTAGCCACATCCTCTCTCCTTCCTGAGCATCTAGCCCAGTCTCTCCCACAGCCCCCGGAAAGTCTTCTGGATGCAGTTTGGGTGTTTTTCTTTTCCATTTGCAGTGTTATAAGGCTGCTGGGGAACTAGGGTTGCTGTGCACCTGCCTCCCCAAGAGGGGCAGCCCCTTCTCGCTCTTACTCCACCAGGGTGGTGAGCTCTTAAGGCCACTAGCAGACCTTGAGGACAGGGTGCTCGGTGCTGTGAGCCCACTAGCACATGAACTTCAGGAGCCCCAGGGAGGGGTCTGCCCATCCAACTGGGGAATGGGCAGGGGAGGTGATTAAGCAGGTTTCCTGGAGGAGGGGATGTATGCACCAGGACCCCTTTAGGCAGAGGGAAGGCGTGTGATGGGGGCTTTGACTCATCCCTGCTCCAGCCTTCACCAGACTCCTTACCTAGCATCGTTCTGTGCCACTGAGGGGCCCCTCCCATGCACCACCTGGCCCTCTGGTGCATGGGGACTTGGCAGTGACCACCAGCAGCCCTTGCCCTCCTGGCTCCCAGCAGGTGATGGCTGAGTGACACGGGATTTAGCCAGTGTTGGAGAAGGGGTGGCGGGCAGGATACGCCAAGACTCAGTGCCAAGTCTCCCAGCCAGGGCGAGTGCACCACTTTGAGGAAGTGAGGAAGCTCAGCCTGGTTGGAGTGGGTCAAGTGAGGCAAAGACCGAGATGTGCTGGCGAGGGGGGTGGGAGGTCAGGAGGGCCTGAGTCAGCCAGGGCTCGCCCTCTCCCGAGCCGTGGGTGGGCTGGCCACAGCACCTCAGCCTGCTTGGAGCCATCCTCGGGCCTTGGCTGTTTTTACGGTCTTGCTGCCAAGCTTGGAAGAGTAGCCACCTCCCCCGACCCTTGCTCCATCTTGGCCCCTCTGCCCTCAGGTGCGTTCCCAGGCCCTGCTCTTCATTAAGCGCATGTATGAGAAGGAGCAACTGAGAGAATACGTGGAGAAGTTTGCCCTCAACTACCTGCAGCTCCTGGTCCACCCCAACCCGCCGTCGGTGCTGTTTGGTGCTGACAAGGACACAGGTTTGGCACAGGTTCATCACAAGAGTGCTGAGCACCTGCCATGGCCCAGGCTCGGAGCTGGGCAAGAGCAGAGATGGGTGGATGCTGAGCCAGGCACAGCCACTAGGGAAGGCAGCCAGACAACAAAGACCACGCGGGCAGGGCCGGGATGAGGAGCCAGGGGCTGTGGGAGCCCAGAGGATGCCAGGCTTAGCCTGCGGGGCATGAAGGGCCTCCTGGAGGAGATGGCTGAGCTGAGAAAGAACAGAGCTAGCCAGGCTTGGGTACCCAGGAAGGGTCTGTAAGGGATGCAGCCTTTGTGCAGGCTTCCTGGAGGAGGGGACATGCGAGGCGGGGCCTGACCAGTGAGTGGGTGTCCAGTTCCTCTGCAAAGCCCTGGGTCTCTGAGAGATTAGAGAACCCAGGCCCTAAGTAAACACGTATTAACCAGGAGAGCTGCACACTGGGGTTCTGATAGCACAGGAGGCCTGCCCCACAGGGGAGGGGGACGACACAAAGCTGTGTTCTGGGCAAGGGAACAGATGCACAGAGCCTTGGGCAGCTGAGTGTGACCAGAGCACGGAGCGCGGCCAGGCAGGGCCTCCCCGGGCAGGAAGGCAGTACAGGTGGGGACTCGGGCACCAGCCTGAGAGCACAGGGCAGGGGGGTTGTGAGCAGGGAGGGCAGGGTCAGAGCTGTGCCGGCAGGTCTCTGGTTTGGAGGTCAGAGAGGACAGGAGGGCTCAGTGCAGGCACTTCTTGGGGGGGAAGGTCCTGCCCCAGCCCAGTCCCTGACCTTCACCCTGTGTCCTGGCCCCCCTCCCCCTAGACCTGGCAGGAGCTGGGGGTGGGGAGGTTGGGAGGAGGGTGGGGCCAGCCTGAGCCCTGCTCTGCTCTCAGAGGTGGCAGCGCCCTGGACCGAGGAGACAGTGAAGCAGTGTCTGTACCTCTACCTGGCCCTCCTGCCGCAGAACCACAAGCTCATTCACGAGCTGGCGGCCGTGTACACGGAGGCCATCGCGGACATCAAGCGGACGGTGCTGAGGGTCATAGAACAGCCGGTGAGGCCCCCGAGCCCAGCAGGCCCTGCCCTCCCACCACAGCCCTCCCTGGCATCTCTGCCTCAGCAGTGCTCAGCAGGAGGGGCGGCCACCCTGGGCCAGTGGCTCAGTGTAGCTCACAGGATGCCCTTTTGCCATCAGTTCATGGGAAGGCAGCGGATGCCTAGTGGATAAGAGCCTGGAGTTGACCAGATCTGGGTTCGTGCCCTGAGCCCCATCCATAAAGCAGGGGCCCTGGGTTTTTGCAAGGGTCCAGTGCACAGGAACACTGGTGCTGTCCAAGTGCTGGCCTGCCTTGCATAGTGAAAGGAATCCTGGCCACCACCAGAGAAGTCCCTCTGTTCCCGTCCCTGGGCCCCTTCTCTGAGAAGCAACTTGGTCACAGACTGGCATCCAGAGTTCAGAGCATTAGCCCGTCCAGCCTGCAGAGGGCCTTGAAACCACTTGTATCCCTGCTGTAATGAAAATGGTCAAACACAAACACCAAGAATGGCGTGTCACCTGACATCCCTGCCAACCTGGGTCAGCAGTGCTTGTGCCTGTTACCAGGGATGGGGGATTGTTCTCAGGGTGATCTCACGGACCCGGCATACCTGGAGGCAGACCAAAGGGCTCCTTCACAATCCTAAATGTTTATTGCGGAAGGAAGGAGCAGGTACCAGGTGCCTGGTCCCCACCTAGGGCAGGGCAGGCTCCCGAGGCCCTGGTCTGAGCCTGAGCCTGAGCTGACTGATGGCGTCATGAAGAGGGGGTGGGCGAGGGGTCACTGTTGGCTGGGGAGACCGGAAGACCCTTCCCCAAGGAATCAAGGCACCAGGTCAATAAGAAAGGGAGGAGCTGGGCAAGGTTGGGGTCCGACGAGATTGGATGGAAGATATAAGATGCTCCCACCTTCATCTCCCACCTTCCCTGTATCCCCCAGGTTCCTAAAGCCTGCCAACAGCACTCCCAGAGCCCCAGCATTCCCTACAGCGGTGTCCCTGGCCTTCCCAGAGGCCCCACCCTAGGTGCCCAGGCGCTCTCCTTTATGGTCCCTGCCCCAGGCCACCCTGCTCATCCCCATCTCTCCCGCCAGATCCGAGGCATGGGCATGAACTCGCCAGAGCTGCTGCTGCTGGTGGAAAACTGTCCCAAGGGGGCAGAGACACTGGTCACCCGATGTCTGCACAGCCTCACAGACAAAGGTGCCCCTCAGGAGACCCCCACCCGCCATCCTTTTCCTTCCCCTCCTGGCCTTGCCCACAGTCACCCTTGGCCTGGCCCTCCCTGACCTGGGGTGCAGAGCCACTGGCTCCCCCGGTGGTTAGGCCTCTTGTGGACGTCTCCCAGGCCTTCAGCCTTGGCATCTCCGTCTGGCTCACTGTTGCTACCTGCACTTGTGAAACCAAAGCCCAAGAACGCCTCCTCTGATGGAGGTGTCCCTCCCCCACCTGCTGCTAGTACACACCCACCC